GCCCCCGCGGCCGGCACCCCGGCCTCGCCGTCACCCCTGCACAGGCCCGAGGCCTACCCACCCTCCAGTCACAACGGTGGCCTCGGCGCCAGGACGTTGAACAGATAACACCGGGCTGCTCTTCCCTGTCCTTAGCTCCACGGACGCCAGGGGCAGGTGTGCGTCCGACCTCAGCCTCCTGGGGGACACAAGTTAGGGATCCCTTGACAGTTTTTCTTGCCTAAGTTATTTGAGTCTCAAAGGCCTCTCCCCCAATTCCTGCTTCAGCTGGGTGTTGGGGGTGGGGGTGGTGGCGTGGATTTAGGGGAGGGACTGAAATGTAAAATGTCCCCTACCAAAGGAGGGGCAATCCTGGTGTGTCAATTCCCGTTTATCCCACTTCCTGCCACACCCTGCCCCTCTGTCCGGGGACACGTGCGTGTGTTTGCCAGAGATGGGTGCACCGGCTCGTACCCGGCTGCGGTCTTGTCTGTGGTTCACAGACCGTGCATGGAGGGCTCTCGCAGCTGGGAGCTCCTTCCAGACACGCGCGGCCTCTCTCTAGTGCTCCCACAGGCTGTAAAACCAAACCAGAGAAGGGGTGGGGGGGGCCAGCGCCCAGGGGTGCTGTGCCCGCAGGCGCCGGGTAGGTCCGTGTGTGCATGTCCAGCCCTGTCACAACCTGTGCTCCCTGTGCGTGTGTGTGTGTGTGTGTGTGTGCGCGCGCGCGAGTGAGAGAGAGAGATTCAAACACTTCCATCAGAGCAAAACAAGGAACCGGGGTCTTCCCCACCTAGTCCTCCCTCCCCAGCCAGTCCTCCCTCTGTTCTTCCTGCCTCCAGCCGCTCGCACCAGATTGTGGAATTTTGGAGACAAAACTAGTACTGTAAGATAAATTTTTTTGTACTGTATTTATTGTGTATAACGATTTTTTTAAGGGAGAATTCTGTACATTTAGAACTCTTGTAAATTAAAAACTGAACCTTTTTTTAAAACTGCTCATGCCCCTTCAGTCCCATTGTTTTTGGGTGTTTTGGGTGGGGGTGTTTGGAGTCGGGTTGAGGCTAAGCCTGTGAGGGCTTATTCCACATGTATTTGTTGAGCATCTCCTGAGTGCCAGGTACAGGGGCACAGTATGAACAAAACAGCGAGGCAGACGAGAGTCCCTGCCATGCTGGCAGGCCAGCTTGTCAATGGGGGAGAGGGACAGTAAACAGCCAAACCAAGTACGATCAGCTTTTGTTATTCCCAGTAAGGTTCTGGGGACTTCGCGAACACTTCGTGAGTTAGTGCATACTGAACCATTGCTCCTGGGGGAAATACAGGGTTAGGTTCACAATATTGGCATCAACTGATCAATATATAACCTTGTTTTATGTGTGTTATGGCTTGAAGACACCTTATTTAATATATGTCATCGACCCATCAGCATGGAGCCCAGCCAGCAGCCCTATAACTCCTACCTGAACAAAGCTTATCTCACATACATATTTTATATTTTCTCCATAAGGCACATCGCAGCCTTCATGTGCTTAGGAACACTAGACAGCACTTCACCTCTATGCTCAGGTTTGTTTTAACAGTGAATTGCCAACAAAAAGCACAAAAATGGGAAAAACGTTCAGTTGGTAGAGTGTGGTGTTATGACACCAAGGTCAAGGGTTCGGATCTCATACTGGCCAGCCACCAAAAAAAAAAAAAAAAAAAAAAAAACCCTTGAAAAGCATGGCACTAAATAGACTGAGAAAAGGACACTTGTTTACAATATGAACACTGAAACAAGAAGGCAGAGTGTCACCTTGTTCGACTTCAGCTGGAAATGTGTTGGGTGACTTGTTACTTTGCTGCCCTGTGCATGTGTGCATGTCTTACAAAGGGGTTTTAGTGGAAAGATGAATTCGCAAGTATGCCATCCGCAAGTGACAATTGACTGTGGATGTGTGTACAGTGTCAGAGGGTGCTATGAAGAAAAATCAAGAAGGGTGTATTAGTTTTGTATTAGTTTCCAAGGGCTGCTGTAAAAAAGTACCACAAACTGGGTGGCTTAAAACAACAGACATTCTCTCAGTCCTAGAGGCTTGAAATCTGAAAACAAGATGTAGGCAGGGCCACACTCCCTCCAGAGGCTAGAAGGGAGGATGCTTCCCCTCCCTCTGTCAGTCTCTGGTAGCCCCAGGCACTCCTTGGCTTGTGTCTGCCTCACTGCAATCTCTGGCATTTCTGTTCTCTTATAAGAACCACCAGGCATGTTGGGTTATAGCCTCTTCTACTCCAGTATGACGTGGTCTTAACTTCATTACATCTACAAAGGCTATTTCCAAATAAGAACACATTCACAGGTACTACTAGAAGTCAGGGCATCAGCATATGTTTTGGGAGGACACAACCCAACCCTCAACGCAGGGTAAGGGGTGGACCAGACAGCTGCTAGTCCCTAGGATGCCTTTGTGTGAACTAGAAAATGGCACCCTTTCTCCTGGACCTGGAATTTGGAGAGCAGAGTGTGAGCTGCATGCCTGCCCCCTCTCACCCATTCAGTGAGTGCCTTGTGCAGTGAACAACCTGACCGACTGCACATTAAGACCGTCAGGATCAGGTAAGTCCCTTAAGGAGATGACATTTGAGCAGAGTTATGCATGAAACGAGGGAGGGAGCAACGGGGATCTCTGGGGGGAGAGCATCTGAGGCAGAGGAAAAGCAGCCAGTGCAAAGGCCCCGAGGCAGGAGTTTGCCTGGAGTGTTTTGTCGAGGAACAGTGAGGAGGCCAGTGTGGCTGGAGCCCAGTGAGCAAGGGAGAGGACGGGAGGTGAGGGCAGAAAGGGAACAAACAGAGCCTAATCGCGTAGGACATTGTGCTTCATGGGGGTGACTTTGCTTTCACTCTGAATGAGGTGGGATCTACAGGAAGGTTCTGACGGCCGTGAGCTGACGACGCTTACTGGCGCCCTCTGGCGGCCGTGTGGGAACAGACAAGGGGACTCGGGCGAAACGTGGCTCAGCGAGGAGGCGACTGCGCTAGTGCAGGTGGGTAGTGATGGCAGCTGGACCAGGGTAATGCGCCCTCTTTCTCTGCAGGCCCCTGGGGATGTTCGTGGGTGGGAAGCTGATCTATGGGGGCTCAGGGGATGGACCATCCCTCTTCCTAGCTCCCGACCTACTTACTGCGCGTGCGTGATAAAGCACTGTAGCCGGGCAGTTCCTAACATCCTAGGATCAGAAAACTCCAGGAAGTCTCTGAAAGATCCCTGTGGCCACGCTCAAAGGTGTGCCCATGATTTCCACAGGTTCTGGCCCTCAGTTCTGGAAGGTTGACCGCGTGCAGCCCGAGCAGAGGAACAGCCACAACTAACGTTTATTGAACGCGACCACGTGGGTTATCTTATTTGGTCCTCACAGCAGCCCCTGTGGGGATTGATAGCCTCATCTTGCAGGTGAGGACACTGAGGCTGGAAAGATGCAGTAAGTGGCAGGCTGGGGTCTGGCCTCTGTATCTCCTGCTTCCTGGTGGCTGGGCACCAAGAGCGAGGCCTTTCTAAGAGGACCACGGAGGAGCCAGAGACGGCCTCTCCTTTCCCAGCCCCTGAGAAAGGGACCGAAACTGAGCTCAGCTCCTCCAGAGCTGGCCCTCAAGACCAAGCTGCCGTACGCCTGCTCCCAGATCTTAGCGGCAGCTCAGTGTGGGTGGGGGCGGGGGTGGGGTGGGGTGAGTGCGCCCCTGAGCAATCTGGAAACGCGGAAGACCCCAAATAGTAACCTCTTGACTCAAATCATCTGGGCACAGAGCAGAATTCAAACCCAGGACTGACAGATCCAAACTTCATCTATCAGACACACTGACACTGGCTGCCTTCTCATCTGGTTTTAAAAATTTATCTTTTAAAAATTGTAATAAAATATACATAGTGTAAAAGTTATCATTTTAACTATTTTTAAGTGTACAGTTCAGTGGTATTGAGTACCTTGACACTGTTGTGCAATCACCACCATCATCCTTATCCAGAACTTTCTCAGTATTCCAAACTGAATCTGTACTCATTAAACACTAACTCCTCAGCCCCTGAGAACAACCGTTCTACTTCCTTTTTTTCCAGGGAGAGGAGGTGCTGGCCAGTACAACACCGTTCTACTTTCTGTCTCTGTGAATTTGACTACTCTAGGTACCACCATATGAGTGGCATTGTACAGTATTTGTCCTTTTGTGAAGGGCTTATTTCACTTGGTATAATGTCTTCAAGGTCCATACACATTGCAGCATGTGTCAGATTTTTTCCGTTCAGTTTTGACAGATGGGGAAGGAGGGAGCTAGAAAAAAAATTAGATTGTGTCTTGGGGAGGGGACCCTAGAGACTGCAAGGGCATCAGGGGAGTTGGACAACAACCTGGGACAGATATGAGACTCCCTGATCAGCCACGTTGCAGCATGTGTCAGATTTTTTCCGTTCAGTTTTGACAGATGGGGAAGGAGGGAGCTAGAAAAAAAAATTAGATTGTGTCTTGGGGAGGGGACCCTAGACACTGCAAGGGCATCAGGGGAGTTGGACAACAACCTGGGACAGATATGAGACTCCCTGATCAGTGAGCAGAGAGACTGGGAGATGAAGCAGAAACCCCAGTGATGCGGGGCTCAAACTGTATTGAACGAGGCAGGGTAGTGTTGACAAGGGCTTTTTTACATGGGTTTTTGACTGCGTGGAAGGTCGGTGTCCCTGGCCCCCTGAGTTGTTCAAGGGTCAGCTGTATATATCAGCCTTATTGAGATGTAATTTACAAGCCACACAATTCACCCATTTAAAATGGCTTTTAGTGAAATCACAGAGATGTGCAACCATCACGACAATCAATTTTAGAACATTTTCATCACCCCAATTATGTACATTATTGCATTCAACCAATTAAATACTATTAAAATATTAAATTTAATATTGAATATTTTATTTATAAATTTAAATATTTTTATTAAAAATATTTATTTGTGGGCCGGCCAGGTGGCACACTGGAGAGTGCGCCGCTTGGGTGCACGGCGGCGCTCCCGCCGAGGGTTTGGATCCCATGTGGGCACTGGAGAGTGCGCTGCTTGGGTGTGTGGCGGCGCTCCCGCCGAGGGTTCGGATCCCATGTGGAGACCGGTTCCTGCTCACTGGCTGAGCGCGGTGCGGGCGCATCACCGAGGGTTGCGATCGCGTTGCTGGTCCCCGGTACGGGCGTGACACCGAGGGTTGCGATCCCGTTACAGGTCAGTAAAAAAGACAAAAAGGAAAAAAAAATATTTATTTGATGTGTGGCAGGCACTGTTCTAGGCAGTGGGGTGACAACAGTAAACAAATCAGACAAAATACCTGTCCTTGGGAGCTGACATTCTAGCGGGGGGAGATTAAAAATAGGTAACTTATATAGACAGTCAATGGTGACAAGTGCTAAAATGGAAAATAAAGTGGGGACAGGAGTGTCAAGGGGTTGGATGGGGGTGTCAAGGTAGGCCTCACCGAGGAGGTACCACTCAAGCAAAGGTCTTGTGAAAAACAGTAACGGCCCATTTTACAGATGGGGAAACATAGGCACAGAGAGGCAAAGTCACTTCCCTGGGGTTCTCTAGCAAGCAAGTAGCAAGGCCAGGATTTGACCTGAGGCCTTGTGTGCTCTGAGTCCTGGAGGCACAGGGACCTGAAGAAAAACCCAGCAGCTCTGGATCTGGATAATAAGCACCTACTATGGGGCCAGGTGCTAAGCCCTGAACATCTCTCTGGGTTTTCTTTTCTTTTTGGGGGGAGTATCAAACTTGATCATCTGAAGAACTTTAACTCTGTTTTAAATCCAGCCTCTGCTCAAAGGGCTGTTTTGCTAGTTTTCTGCATGTTAACATTCCAAAGGGATTTACATCTTCAAGGGATTACTTACTGGTTCCCTGGCTGGCAATGGAACCCAGGCTAGGAACAGAACCCCAAGTGGCCTGAATGGAAGTGTGGTCTCTGGGTTTTCTGAATTCCTTTCTCTGGGTTCCGTTGTCTCTTCTGGGACATTATGAGGATTCAATGAGGAAATACACGTAAAGAGCTTACAGCTGAGGCCGGCGAGTCAGCTCGGGTGTTTAGAGCACAGCCTTGCAATCCCAGGGTCCAGGGTTGGGGTCCCCACAGCGGTGCAGCGGGGTTGGCCGGGGTTGGGGTGGGGAAGCGAGTTAAAGCGGCGTCTGCACATGTGAAGTGCACGGTCAACGACAGGGGTGCGTTCAACAAATATTTACTGAGCCCCTGTGGTCAGTCAGGCGCGGGCTCGGTGCTGAGGGCACAGCAGGGGACCCCTTCCCCACGGGGCTCGCGTTCCCCCGGCGGAGACAGTCACTTCAGCAGAGAAATGTGGAACGTGCAGAGTGGCTGTGAGGGCTGCAGAGGAAAACAGCTGCAGCGAGAGGCAGACGGGGAGGTCGGGGCGGGCCTCTCTGAGGAGGTGACACTGGAGCAGAGACCCGAGAGCCATGCGAGGGGGTGGGAGAGCGCCTCCGGCAGAGGGCGCAGCGGGGCCCGGGCCGCGTGGCTGGGACCGAGTCAGGGAGGGAGAGGCGGGGCCCTGGGCACACCGTGCTGGGCCTTGCGGGCCGTGCGGGGGTTTTCTGGCTTTTACTCTGGGCGAGAGGGGAGCCAGGGAGGGTCGCGAGCAGAGGATTTTCATAAACTCACTTAAGCTTTAAAATTATTATTATTCTCTCCCTCCCTCTCTTGTTTTTAATTTGGCGATTGGCGGGTCCGGGCATCCGAGCCCTGACCGTGGCGTTACAAACCCGCTCTTAGCCAACTGTGCCAGCCGCCAGCCTTTCAAAACTATGATTATGGCTGCGGCGGCTGCGGCTACGGCTGCTGCTATTATTACTCCCGTGTTAAGAAGGGAGACAGGGACCGGGGAGCGGCTCCAGCCCGAGGTGGAGGCGGGACTCGATCCGCAGACTCGAAGCCCGCGCGCTGCCCCCGCCCCGCCGAGGCGCCCCCCGCTCCTGCCACGAGGGGGCGCCAGAGGCCGGGCGCGAGTTTGGGGAGGGGGTGGCGCCTCGCCC